AGTATGCCACTTCCCTGTTGAATTCACAACTGATTCACAAAGTAAAAGAATATAGCCTTGAAAAAATGTGAATTGGCTTGATTATAGTAAGCAGAAACAGATACAACTCAAAAGAGTAATCGTCTTATTCCTCAACCTAATTTTCAAATACATTCCATTCCTAGAAAACAATGAATACACATGGAAATCGATTTTTACAATGATGTAATTCCTCCATCATACAAAACACTCTAATTTTCAAGTTCTTAGATTTGATCCCTTCACTTGAAAGACACTTTTTCATGCAGTGACTTCAAAGTGGAAGAAATATGAATTCAGTAATTTCAAATGTCTCCCATCTCAAAGATCCAAAGATATTTTTAGTCTTAGATGACTATAGTAAACCAGGTTTTCTTGTTTATAGATTAAATAACATAGAAAGTTTTTTTTTTTTAACTTTCACTTCACTCTTTGGTACAGAAAAACAATTACCTCTGGGATGAACTGAACTGGTTGCCCTCAAATTCATATGATGAAACCTCAAAGCCCAATGTGATTATATTTGGAGATAGACCCTAGAAGTAGGTAAAAGTTAAGTAAGGTCATTAGGGTGGGGCCATTATCTGATAGAACTGGTGTCCTTTTAAGAAGGGGAAGAAACTAGAGCACACTTTCTACACACACACACACACACACACACACACACACACACACACACACACACACAAAAGGTCATGTGAGAACACAGCAAGAAGGCAACTGTCCATAAGCCAGGAAGAGCAACCACACCAGAGACGATTTGTCAGCATCTTTATCATGGACTTTTAGCCTCCAGAACTGTTAAAAAATATCTGCTGTTTAAGCCACCCAGTCTGTGGTATTTTGTTATGGCAGCCCAAGCAGACTATATAATCTCTAAAAATTAAAAGATTCTACTTTTGAAATAGTTTTACTCTATCAATAATCCAGCTGAGGGGACTTCCCTGGTGGTCCAGTGGTTAAGACTCTGTGCTCCCAGTGTAGAGGGCCCGGGTTTGATCCCTGGTCAGGGAACTAGATCCCACATGCATGCCGCAACTACAAGTTCTCGTGCCGCAACCAAGAGTCCGCATGCCGCAACTAAAAGATACCGTACGCGGCAACGAAGATTCCACGTGCCGCAACTAAGACCCGGCGCAGCCAAATAAACAAACACACAAAAAATCCAGCTGAATATGTCACTGATAGTTGTTGCAACAATGATTCGTTTATGAAGAGAAGTGCCTGGAGCAATCTGAAGAATAATTCACTCCAAAATTATTTATATATGTGTGTGTTGTTCTACATTAAATTGTCATTTGGAAATAGCATAAAGCTTTGAACCCCTAAGAGATATCCTCTGTTGTCCTGATTCTGAGTGCAAGGGGACAGTGCCAACAGAGAAGTCCTCGAAGGAATCTAAATAATCTCACCCTCCCTGGAAAACAGCAGCGTAAAAATCCTGAAAGAGAAATGCTGATTCTTTTGAAACCAAACAACATTTGCTCTACCTGGTGAAGAAAATTTCTGTGGCACTGTCTCCTGTCCTTGTACCTTGTGCACCGAGATTATATAAAATTTGATTTCTTTGATGCTGACCTCATTAATATCCAGAGTCAAGGCCGTATATCCACCTTTGGCAATCACTCTGTCCTTAGGATTTCTACGTTCTCAGTGGCAAGAAGTGATTTATTAGATCATAGGGTGACTAGTATCTCTATAGGATTCACCCTTTCAGTGGTAACTGTTGAATATATAGGCTCTTATGCATTCAGGACAATTTGTTAAAACTCAAAGTATGTGTGTGTAAATATAAATATGCAAACACAGCTTATACATACATACACTGTAATAAAGGTATATTATAGTGCATTCAAGATTATTGAACTATGATCACATTTTTCTTAACTACCATTTCTTGACTGCATCCCATGTGCCAGGCAGCGTATCAACACTCAACATAATTCCCTTATTTAATTATCAGAATTCCACAAGGTAGAGATCGTTATCCGATATTAAGATGAGAAAACAAAATTTCAGAGAGGTTACATAAACACCCAAATTCTTTCAATTTAAAAGTTCCAGAACTACGGTTTATGCCTAAGTTTCTCTGACTCCACAGATGTCTAAGAATGTTCCTTCTCCCCAATCTTAAAGAACTATGAACTATCGAACAAAGCACTGTTTATATACTCCTTGATATTTAAATCATCTTAGTCCACACAGGTCTGGTAGCAATGTTTTATAAAACCTGTGGGATTAATCAAATCTACATTGGTTGAGTTCATAATGCCTAGCAATTTTCTAGAAAACTTAGGAGCGAATAATGCAATCACTGTAGAGTGACTATGACCTCGAGTGAAGTACATCAGAAAACCCATGGGATTCAATTGTTAACCACCCTATAGTATTCTGCATTTTTTCTCTCTAGAATGATTCCTTAAATTGATCTTAAGTAGAAGCATTTGGTTACCATTACATGGTAAAATTATTGTATTACTACTGGAAAAAGCAAAGTACCCATTTTCTCATGCTCTTCCTCTATATCCAATTAGATAACATCTGTCAAAAGTTCTTAACTTAGTAAACATAGGTAAGAAGTTATTATGAGAATCATTATATCCCTTCTCTAATGCTGTATGCAAACCACAGAGGGTCCAGTCTGCAGTAATTTTCATTCATTTTAAAACAACTTATAAAACAATAAGGTAAGTAAGTTTAGTATAGACTGTATTTCCACTTATTGCATAGTGGAAAAGTGATAATGTTCAAAACTTAATGAAACTCTTGAATTGTATCAACTCCTCATTCCTTAAAACTTGTCACAGGGTTTCAAAGCTCAATGTGTTCCACGTAACTACAAGAGGATTCATAGTCAAATAACTTTCCATGTTAAACAGATTCATTTACTACAGGACTTCCTGGAAGCTTAACATACAAGGTGCATTCTGTCTGTCTAGAAGAACCGTAGACAGGATTATGCAGATATTATACTTAAAATATGCATTATGCCTCCCTATCAGCCTTCCCCTACCCCACCCCTCTTAAAAGGCCACTCCTATCCAATGCCATGAGTTGGCCATGTGACATGCTTTAGCCAATGAAATATAAGAGGTAGTAACATATACCACCTCTCAGCAGCAGTTTATAAAGAGCCCAGATTCCACCATCATTCCTTTCTCCTTTTGCCACAAGACTTAAGCATCCCAGAGAGGTTGTCCTTCAGCTTTGGTCCAGGAATGAAGAGGATATGGAGCAGAGTGGCAGCAAATTCATCAAGAACATGAACATGAGCGAGAAAGAAACTTTTACTGCTATAAACCACTAAGACTTGGGGATTCTCTGGATAATTAAACAAAACTTTGCCTAAGCTAACTTAAATAGCATGTTTCCCACATTTACTGAACCCTGGCATCATTCTGCTCGGTAACATTTTCCAAAATTTGTTTCCTAAATTACTCCTGATTTTGTGTGGCAATTTTCTGTTAGTTAATACTGTATTTAAGATGAATGTATAGTTATGCTAGAAGTATAAAGTCTCAGTCTTCTTAAATTTTATCAGCATTTTTTGTCAATTTCTGCTTACAGTCAATAAAAATATTGTATTAAAATAATCTGATTAACATTTAGAGATCATAGATGAGATGGCTACTTAAGCCAAGACTGCCAACAACTACTGATTAATGATTTAGTTTTCTGAATAGGTAATATAAAAGGTCCTGCTTTACTTTCTATATATGTATTCATATTCAGAAAACTAAGAATACCGCCACAAATTTAATTTTCTTTGTATCTCACTATACTCAACTGCCTTTAGGATTAGTAATCGAGAACATATTTGACATTTCAGTATAGATATTCAAATATTCTGTAGTCTATTCTGCTGACCCAGAAAAACCATAACCAACTGTATCCTAACTGGCATTTGTAAATCCAGAATTTATATTTCTAACTTCACTGTGCCTTAAAGGATAGCACAGAAAGGAGGAAAACTAACTAAATCCCAATCTTCTCACTGGCACTAAGATTTTTTTTGTTGTTTCAATATCCTAGTAAACACACAAGCTAAATGGCATTTATTTTTACAATGTGTACAATCCTAGACTGCAACATTCAGAAGAATGGTTCAGAGGCCTTATATTTATACTCATATCATAAAAGCAACATTCAGTCACATACTTACTACAACAAAAAAGGTAGACACAGATATTCTAGACGGACCTAATAAGCTATCAAAAATACTTAAGAACAGAAAAGATTTAAGATTTCAATGAATAAAAAAATTGAAAAGTAAGTTCATGTCCTAAAAATTGCAACTAAACAATATTTACTACTTCTGTTAATTTTAACTTATATTAAATTCCTTGGTCTTATAAATCATCAGTTCACCATAAAGTATTGAAACATCAGTAAAGCAATCACACATTTTCATTCCCAGACTGAGAAAACTCTATGCATTTAAGTAATCATGACCAAAATTAATCTTAAAATATTCCTAAAGAAGCAGTTTTGAATATAACTTATATACAAGAGGACAGAATTATAGTATCTGTGAGTTTCAAAGTTTGATATAATTTGCCACATGTATATATTTTAAAATCTCAACTTTTTCAGGCAATACAAAAAAAGGCTTTGGGGGAACAGGCCAATGTAATATTTATTTAGGTATGTATTCTCTAGATAATTAGGACTTCAATAAATGGACTTTTCACCAACAGCCCACTACTGTGGAGAAACAAACCAGAGATTCTGAAATAGTTAATTTTTTAAAATTCATGATTTTAAAGGAAAATTTAACTTACTTGATGATAGAGATTAAAGTGTCCCTTTAAAAATACTAATAAAATTGACCAAAAAAATACACAATTATCACACTTCCTTGATCAATACGGAAGGTGAATCCATCAGATGGAAAAAAGTTGAGACCAGCTCTGTTACCACTTAGCTCCTGACAGCTTCACTGCTTCCAGGTAAGTAAGATGCACCTGCAGGGCTGCTCTTACCGGTCAAGTCAAGACTTTCCATTGTGATTTCAATGGAACATCAGAACTTCCAGCTTCTGTGATGCAGCAGAATTCTGTGAAGGACCCATAGCAAAGTGATTAAAATGGTGAGCCAGGAAGCCCTTTCAAACAAAGCTGACACTTATTCTCCTTTAGCAAAATAATCCCTAAATAAGATGAATTAACAGTCAAGCAATCAAAATCAGGAAAATTATTAAACATCCCTCTACTAACACTATTTAGGAAAAAAAGACCTAAAGTGTTTATTGTCAACTTTAATGTAACAAAAAGATAGTCACTAAAATTACTCAATGGGAATTCTGAGACTAAAGTTACAGAGACAAAGAATTACAGGCAATCACTTCTTAGCTTTCTGACTAAATTCACGTGTAGAGTTACAGGTGAATTCTCTGGAAAAACATGAAATTATATTGACATCCTGACTAAATTCAAGTTATTTAAAATGACTGGCCCAACCCATACAGTTAAGCTGTGGTTCAGATGTTAATATTTTATCTTTTAAATGTTTTAAAGATAACAAGTGAAATCAAGATAGTTTTTTTTTAAGGTGGGGAGCGGGGGGGAACACATACAAATAGAGAAAAGCTGTAACTAAAAAATTACTTTCTAGTTACATATGATGAAATAAATATAAGAGGATCAGAATCAACAAGAGTATACAAATTAAATGAGCATTTTACATTAATACTGCAAATATAGACATACACTTAAACTGTATCTTTTTTTAAAATTATTTCAGTTTCTGAGACATTCATTTAGTTTCTCAAGTGCTTCATGGTAATACTAAATTCACACTCAACTAAGAGAGACAATTTCCTACCCTCCTGCAGATTATGACAATTTATTTCCTTACAATCAGTAGGCTATAACACACTCTAGAAATCAGATATCACTTACTGGCTTACAGCTTGATCAATACTGTTAGTCATTTTATGGCTTGGCTAAAGTTTTTTCCCCTAATCAGCCACTACAATATGGAAGAACTGGCTCTTACACATTAAATATCAAAAATGTGTAATGATTCATCTGAGTAATCCTAACTAGACTTAGATGGTTCAGTTGTCACCCAGTGCTATGGAAGAAAACAACAACTTGAAAGAATAAATAAAATATTAAATGGCCTCACGTGGCTTCACACAAGATACTACTCATTCATCCACATTTTTTAAAACAAGGATATGGATGAAAGAATAAATCCAGATCTTTGACGAAAACTACGAAGGACACATGAATACTTTCAAATTAAATGCCTATGTTTTTATCAAGGAAGGGTACAATTCCAAAAACTGATTAAATAAATGATATAAAAGTCTATCCTTAATTATCATAAACTAGGCAACTAACATTAAAACTGCTGTTTCGGGCTTCCCTGGTGGCTCAGGGGTTAAGAATCCGCCTGCCAATGCAGGGGACACAGGTTCGAACCCTGGTCTGGAAAGATTCCACATGCCGCAGAGGAACTAAGCCCGTGGGCCACAACTACTGAGCCTGTGCTCTAGAGCTCGCGAGCCACAACTACTGAAGCCCGCGCACCTAGATCCCGTGCTCCGCAACAAGAGAAGCCACCGCGATGAAAGCCTACGCACCACAACAAAGAGTAGTCCTGGCTCGCCACAACTACAGGAAGCTCACGCACAGCAATGAAGACCCAACACAGCCAAAAATAAATAAATTTTGTTTAAAAACTGCTGTTTTAAGAAAATCACATGTACTATCTCATATATTTATTTCCATACTTTTTCTTCATATAAATCCATGAAAGCCAGTATAAAGAACTATTAAAATAAAAAGTTAATAAATAGGCAAAAATCATGAATATCTATAAATAACTGTCAAGTAAATAAATTGGTATAAACTAAAAAAACAAAGAGTATATAATTAATACTGCCAAAACTGGGAGAGGAGGGTCCAACATTAATTCTGATAGTGTGGGTTTAATTCTTATTTTGATTTAGAGATTTGCTTACATTTTAGTGTTTTTTTTAATTTATTTATTTTATTTAATTTATTTTATTTTTGGCTGCGTTAGGCCTTCGTTGCTACGCGTGGGCTTTCTCTAGTTGTGGCGAGCGGGGGTTACTCTTTGTTCTGGTGCGCAGGCTTCTCATTGCTGTGGCTTCTCTTGTTGTGGAGCACGGGCTCTAGGCGTGCGGGCTTCAGTAGTTGTGGCTCACGGGCTCCAGAGCCCAGGCTCAGCAGCTGTGGTGCACAGGCTTAGTTGCTCCGTGGCATGCGGGATCTTCCCAGGCCAGGGATTGAACCCGTGTCGCCTGCATTGGCAGGCGGATTCTTAACCACTGCGCCACCAGGGAAGCCCCTACATTTTAGTTTAAGAAGTTGAGTGCATGCTATCTGAGAAATAAAATATGCTAGTATATCCTATATACAGAAGTTCTTTTAGGAGCTCAAAAATAAACTCTCACTAATCTTAAGGTACCCTTACACATTTGTTTGTTTCTATAATCAAATATATACCCCCCAAATGGACCATATCTATACTTTATTTTGATTACTGTTCAATAATTTATCACCTGGGATGCAACTATCTATGGATAAAGTAGGGAGGGAGAGGGAGGAGGCTGACTATGCTGTGGCCAATATGGGTTTTAAAACTCAGGAAAACGAAGAAATCATGTTGGACTTCACTGACTAGGAGGGGAGCCAGGGAATCAGCCACAGAGCAGAGGTCAACTTTAAGGCTGAAGATCCTGCCTGTGACAGACTCCCTTTGAGTTCTCTGACAGCCAAACTCCAGATTTTATCTGGCTACTACAAATGCCCACATGAGTAGCTTCAGAAAAGCAGTTTCAGCATAAGCTGCTCTGCATTTAAGTTACCAGTACTTCAAAAGTGTTTTGATTTGATGGAAATGGGTGGCTGTGTGAGGTGTCAGAAGGGCAGGTGGGCAAGAACGGGAAATGTCTAAAGGGTGAATACAACCCTGCAGAATGGTGACTTGAACATGCCCTTAGACCATAGCCAGGAGAGATCTTCCACTGAGCCACACCAGGCCTGTCTGTGTTCTCTGGGTCACACTACAGCTTCCTCCTAACCCTCACTTCCCATCCACACAGGGCCTTGGATTCCTGACTGCCCACACTTAGCTCCCACTGCCTCATTAAGAGCCTGCTCCGTTAACGGGCTCCTTTTCCCTTTGCAAGGCCCGCTTCCCACCACAACACTACTTCCCACAGGATGCACACCTAGCCAGGATGGACCTGGCACAGCTCAGGATGCCCTCTGAGATCATCATGGCAGATGGGAGAGCTAATGTTGAATTATCTCCTCTTTACCTCTTAACCACAAATAGGGTATCTGACTTGGCATCTGAAAAACCCATCTTAAAGATCTGGCCTCAGCAACCACTGAAATATCCCAAAGCAGCTGGCTTTCTGGCAGTTTACACATTGCCCCCCTTCGGGGTCCTATGTTTTGAAAGCTTATTATACTAAAAAAGGTGAGGTGCCACTTCTTATAATGAGGCAGTCTCCCTCATTAGTGTTAATGTCCAGTATAACATTCAAAGGCACATCATGACAAGATCCCCTTCTATGCCAACACTGTATGTTTTGCACCCTAATGTCACTACAACCTAGTCAGTGCAGAAGGGACTCCAGGCAACCATGTTGCCCATTTACATGGAAGACTATTTAATCCCCATGAATGACTGCTTTTCTGATGTTTTCATCATTTCTCTGGGTAATAGATTAAGCTTTAACTAACTCATTTTCATACATAACCCTAATTCAATCAAGCTCAGTAAAAGTCATTCTGGACTGCAATTATCTGCTAAGGAACAATTACATTCAAATGAAAAAAAACTTGCTGGGCATGATACAATGCACGGTACAGATGCCTCTCCATTTATGGAGCCAGAAACAACAACAAAAATAGCCAAGCTGCTAGAAACGGAAATAGATTTTTTTCCTCATCTTCCTGAAAATAGAATACGCATGCTTTTACACCTGAAGAAAACAAAATGGAGAAGCCAAGAAAGCAAATTTCAAAATTTTTTTTTCAATTATGTTTATGCTTTGAAAGAGGCTGCATTTCTAATCTAAGAGTAAGCATGACCTCTGAAAGCCAAAATAAATCCAGGTCACAAATAACAGTCTTAACATCCACTCTTTCACTAAATCTTCCACTGGCTTCCTCCCATTTTCCCAACAATGTGTATTCCGATTTCCACTTTACAAAGTAGGTGTTCTTAAAAGATTTTTCCTGTCTTAAAATTACTTCTTTAAATAAATACAATTCTTATATTTTCCTCAATTCACTCTTTTACACACTGCATGTTTACAAATGAAATGTAAAGGTTGTTTATAAATAAACTTAAATACAAACACCGAGCTCTTACTTCTACGTAAATATACCGTATTTTTAGTCCAAAAAAACTCATTAACTAAAGCCTCCTTATGTATATGCATAAGGTCTCCCACTCACCCCACTGTAATTAATATTCTTTTCATCTCCTCAGTAGTAGCACCAGGCACATTACAAAATAATATAGTACTGAAATTGCATACCGGCTGTTATGCAATTTTGGCCAATGAATTCCATACCTCAGGTCACTGTGGTACACCAGAGGACAAAGGATTTTTTTTTCTAGAAATGATAAGCTCCGGGTAAATCATTTGCTGAAATAAATTATCTTCATGTAGACAAAGATAAATGCAGGGAAATATATAATATGTGTGCTTTTAACAAGAGTTGCCTTTATTTCATACTTCATATTGTCACTGTCTTTATTTTATGACAGTGACAATATAAAGTATGAATAAAGACAACACTTGTTAAAATCACCCACTCTGACTGTCTTTATAGTTGAAGCTTAAACCAAAGCTATTTCACAGGCATTTCTCGCCAGACACCAATCTTTAACAGAAATTACAAGTGTCAGCTATACTGAGAATGGTAATTTCTTAAAAGAAAATGCAAATCTGAAGTATCTTTTTATCACCTTCCCACCCCCACCCCTGCATTTCCTCATGACCCAGAGCCTTTCAGGTAAGAAACCTTAAACATAGCAATAAAGGCAAAACAAGTCCTAAGA